GTTATTTTACGGTGATAATCTTGTTTCTTGTGCCCAATAATGCATAATTTCATTTGATAAAACACGTTTAGATTGAATGGTAATTTATAATCAGTCACAAGAACGTCGAATCTGAATCACTTGAAAAAAACACGGGGGTGCTTAACTTTTTTCCAGGTGTATATAAGAATGCTTAAGTGTGTGTGCGCGATGTTCAAATTTATAATAATAACTACATCTGCCATTGCTAAAGAAGCCACCCTGCATCAGGATGTTTTAAGCATATTTTCATGAATATTACAATAAAGACGTGAAAAAATATATGTAATAGTTTCAAATTGAATAATACTCATATTTAAAGGAAATGCAAATCTTATAATTTATGTATGTTTCTGAGCGAGTAACAATGAAAAACATAAGTCATAAAGTACTCTGTACTTTTATCTTTTAATATATATAAATTTTACATAAAGTTAAGTGTATGTTGAATATTAATTTGGCCAAATTGCTTTAAATAGTGAATTCTATATTCACTTGCTTAAGCTATTTAGCACAAATTTTAATTTTTTCAGTAGGTTTATGAATATTGTAAAAATATAAATACCTTACTGGCTAAATTCGGTACTTTATATTCCAGTATCACTGAATTAAAATTTTGATGGCCTTTTTTTTTTACAGACATTTTACGAAGCCACGTATTCCTTAGATATTTCAAAATTTTTACATCAATGTGTTGTTATCTCTCTTTTGTGATGCAGTGAATTATGGTAATTTTTATGGATTTCAAAAAACGTTTTTACTGAAATTCAATGACTTTCATTGATATGTTGTTTTTTGCATTTTTTTATTAATTTTCCTGATGTGATGACTATCACAGTCCTCTGTTTTGTTGTTGTTGTTTTTTTGTTAATACTTTCATTGTGACTAGGTTTATCCACAGCTTCTGCTTCTTGCACAACAAACTTATGTAACTCAAGCTTCAGTCTTTCATGCTTTTATCTGGAATTATTTTGGTTCACAAAGTGAAATTTCCTCTTTATTAATTGTGTCGTAATTTTGAGTATTCTTCAATACCGTACTTTCAGTATGATTAGGCTTTGTTGTTGTTTTCTTCTGTCATTTCCATGCAGTCTCTTGAATCAGATTACTTTGTAATTTCCACTTTCTGGCCTCGAACCTCCACTTGAGCTTTTGCAAGAGGATTTTGAATGGTTTATACTTCTGTGCTTTTATCATCAATAGGTTCCTTCATAGCTTCCAGTTCCTGAAGTAAAAGCTCTTCTTGTTTTATCATGATGAGATTCTCAGGACTCGGTTCATTCATGTTTTCATCTTTACTATGCATTTGTTCACTTTCGGATTGCTGGTCTCGGGCTTCATCTTTTTGTGTCGTGATAAGTTCCTTTGGCCTCTGTTCATCTGTGCTTCCATACACACTATGTTCTCTGATAGTTTCAGGTTCCCCATTTAGAATTTGACATTGTTCTATTGTTATGAGTGATTTTGGTTTCTGCTTGTCCATGCTTTCACCTTCATTAATTTCTTTTTTAGTATCCAGTTCCTGAGATGAAATTTCTTCTTCTATTACTATATGTGTTTCAACACTTTGCTCTTTTGTAGTTTCATCCAAAGCAGGCTTTTCCAATCTTTCATCTCTCTGATCTAGATGCTCTTGTTCTATTAAGATGAGTTTCTCAGGCTTTTGTTCACCTTCTTTACTGTGTTCTTTGTCACTTTCTGGTTGATAGCCTCGAGTTTCATCTTTTTCTGTCACAGTACGTTTCTTAGATCCCCATTCACTCATGCTTTCATTTACATTATGTTTTATGATAGGTTCAAGTTTCTCTTCTGGAATTACATGTTCTGTTATGATAAAGATTTCTGGCTTCTGCTTGTCTATGTTTTCATCTTCATTATTTTGATTTGTAGTTTCCATTTCCGGGTCTGAAAATTCTTCCTGCTCTGCTATGATGGATATTACAGTAGTCTGTTTTTTATTTGTCGCTTCATCCAGAATAATTTTCTCCAATGTTTCATCTGTCTGATCTAAATCTTCTTGTTCTGTTAAGAATAATTTCTCGGGCTTCTGTTTGTCATCTACACTGTGCTCTTTGTCACTTTCTGATTGCTGGTTTGGGGATTCATCTTGTTCTGTCTTTATAAGTTTTTTAAGCTTTTGTTCTTCTATACTATGTTCTATGTTAATTTTAGGTTCCCCATATAGAATTTCATGTTCTTCTGTTATGATGAGTTCTTCTGGTTTCTGCTTGTCCATGCTTTCGTTTTTACTACTTTGTATTTTACTTTCCAATTCCTGGGCTAAGAATTTTTCTTGATCTGCAGCAATGAATGTTTCAACAGTTTGTTCATTAGTAGTTTCATTCAGAATAGGTTTCTCTAGTATTTCATCTGTCTGATCTAGATCTTCTTGTTCTTTTTCCATACTTTGATCAAGCATCTTTTCTTCTGTGCCTTCATATTGACTAGGTTCTTCTAATTTATTTTCTTGGAATGAAACTTCTTGTATTGAAATACACTTCTCAGTACTCAGTTTTTCCATGATTTTATCTGGACAAGGGTCTTTTGTACTTTCTTCTTGGACTACTACTTTTTCTGATGTGATTAATTTCTCACGCTTCTGTTCATCAGTGCCATTATCTGCATCATCCTCTGTTTTAATTTCTATGTCCTGGTTTTTAACATCGCTTTTTACAGTTACAATTAATATTTCTGCCTTTGATTCGTCCACTTTTTCCTCCACACGGTAGTCATTTATAGTGTTCAATTCCTGGTTTGGGACTTCATCCTTTGGAACCGTCACGAGTTCTTCAGACTTTTGTTTGTCTACACTTTCGTCTATACAATAGTCATTTAGAGTTTCTAGTTCTTTTTCTGGTAATTCATCTTGTTCTGTCATGATTTGTAATTCAGGCTTCTCTTCGTCTTTCCTTTTGACTACATTATGCTCTTTCTGAGTTTGCAGTTCATGGTTTAGAATTTCATCACTTTTTGTCTCAATTAATAATTCAGTGTTCTCTTTGTCTTTCTTTTCGTCTTTCTGATTCACCATTTCCTGGTCTGGAATATCTTGTTCTCCAATGATAGGTTTGTGAATAGTCTGTTTTTCCTGACTATATTTCCTCATAATTGTTTTTGATTTTCTGTCCACAACTTCTTCTTGTTTTACTGTGTGGAGTTTTTCAGACTGAATTTCTTCCGCACATTTGTCTTGAATTGAAATGTTTGTTTCCTGTTCTAGAACGTCCTGCTTTCCTATGACTTTCAGTTCCTCACCTAAAAGTTCTTGCTCTGCTACAAAGAATATTTTATTGTGTTCTTCTAATCCTTCATCATCATACTTAGTTTTTGCTGTTTGGATTACAATTTTCTCCTCATTGACTTGTTTCTTCTCTTGTTTCCGAAAAAATGACACAGTTTTTAGTTTGGGTTTACATTCGGATGGCAGAGTTTGTGCCGATTCTCTAGCTAAAAAATGGAAGCAAAACAGTTAAAATTCATTAATATCACATAAAAGATATTTCTCACTTATTTTTAAGCTTTGGGGCGAATTTTAGTAAATTATTGTTTTGCCAACTCCCAATAATTCTGAATTTTAGTTTCAGATTTATTTAGATAGGAATTTGATAAACGCGAAATATTATTTGAAGGGGGTTCAATGACTTTTCATTAATACATTTTTATGCCAACACATAATGGTAAAAACAAAGTTCTGACACCAACGTCTAGGTTATATTATTTTTCAAGTTATATTTTGAGTAAGAGCACTTTGTAAGGCTGAAATGTCACTTGCCAATTAGACATCTTACTATATTTTTGTGTGCGTGACAAAATACAATTCATAAAAACAAACTTATAGTGTTAGTTCAAAATATTTATTGGTGGGAGATAAAGTGCTTCACGGTAGGTAATGTGTGCATAAACTTATTTGTGTAAAAACAGTTGTTTCCCAGTTTACCATCTTGTTACGACAGCGGGAGTCATGTAACGCTAGTAATACGTCATGAGCTTCCAGAAAATTCATGTCCGTTCATGAAGCCTCGAGTGTTTACTAGATGTGCGGTATTCTTGTATATAAGACAGCCAAGAACTGAGAGCAACAATGTAATTGAATTGCAGACACAGATGGAGACGGACAATTGAATCAAGCGCGTGAATCGTTTGTTTAAGTTATAGTGTGACTGTGGAAATTAAGTGAATTTCAAAG